ACATCTTTGCCATACAGGGTTCAAAATACTTGAGTACTTTTTAAACCTAACTAAAGAAGATACACTAAAAGGAAATAAGTGTTTGAAAAAAAACGACACAAAACAGGACTTCTCAGGTTTCACAGTCGAGTAGTCCTTCATTGATACTTTTGCATCTCTGCCCAGACCGAAGAAGCCATGAGAGCGGTGAGTGGAGTCCTTTAAACTCGTGGTTCAGCTGAAGATGTAGCAGTGAGGCACCGATGATCTTCTCTTCTCAGTTCAGGCCTTTCCCCTGTAAGGAAGTAGGAACGCTCCCAGCTGGGCCTGTGTCCATGTGTTCACGGCTGGGATGGAGAAGGCCACCAGCTCCACCTGAGAGCCACAGATGGTCACTTGGAACCAGACCTCCTGAAGTCAGCTTTCTTGGTGTTATCGGTGTCTAGGGCCACACCCGGGTGTCAGCTGCTCCATCTCTTTTCAGTGAGCTTACATCTGCGGTATCTTTGGAAAACTTTATGATGTCATTAGTACTGACAGTATCAGAGCAGTCACATGTGAGTGCAGACAATGAGGTGCTCGGCACACACCCTTGCGGTGAACCAGATTGTACCTGCTGACTGCCTGTTGTTTATCTGAACACAGTTCGGCTTTATTATCCAAGTCCATGCAGTGATTTCCACGCCAACGCATTCAATATGAACTTCCCCCTTTAAGAAGCTCCAGGGGAAATACAGTTTCAGGAAGTAAACTGGTGCCCATAAAAGACATTTTATTGGTTTTCTCAGATCAACTTTAAACTTCAGATCAATTTTTTTTTTAAATTTTGATTTCCTGCACCCGAAAAAATTAAACCGAGATTAAGACGGTGACTAACATAATTGCGTAAAGCACACGCCCAAAGCAAACAGGGAGGTTTCACTTCCTGACAGACGCTGCCCCCGACGTGATGACGTTTTTCACCTGTACGTTGAACAGTTAACGCCACGCCTCCTGCTTACACCTGTTTTCAGGAAGATTTGTTGGAGAAACTTTTAGAAGTAGCGTTACAGCCAAGGCGGGCAGGTGAGACCTTAACGAGGACTACTGTTTATTTGGACGAAAGCGGTCTGAGAGTGAAGGAAGAAGCCTTGAAGCTACGAAGAGCACGTTTACAGGTGAGTTGGCGTCGTTTCTGTCGGTGTTTCCTTCCTCCTGCACAGGTAATCAAACCATCTCAGCTTAGCCTGTGGAGTGAAAGGTGAAGCTGAAGGATCGTGTGTGACATAACTCTGAATCAAAAAAGTTTTTTTTTCTGTGGTTTTTCTCAGTTTAGGTGAAGTTAGTCGGATGTTTACAGGCCTGAAAGCTTTGTCGCTGCTTGACTGCAGTCGTCACAGGCCTGTGTGACAGCTGTGGTTTTCTTCTTAGTCATTTTGTGTGTTTTTGTTGGAGTTCCCTCACAGTTTAACGTGCTTGCCTTGATTTGTGTGCTTGTCTGTGTTGCTGTGATGCTGACTGTCAGCTGTAAACTCCACTTTCTTATTCCTCACCTTACTGGTTCGGCAACACACAAGTTTCTACCTGTCCGGAACTGGAGTTTCACACTAGTTTCGACTGCATTCCCAACCTGCTGCGTCCTCCTCTCCTCACCCTGCATATTTACACACTCATTGTTTGATTTGGGACTGACACAGTCGCTTAAGACTGCTGTTCTCGTAAGTTCCGTACTGCGCATGAGGTGCTTTTAAGATTGTGGCCCGTCCTTTCTGGATTTTTAAAAGTTAATCTAGGTTTTAAGGTTTCTGTCATCGCAGCTGTAGCTTAGTTCAGTTCAAATAAAAGGAGGAAAAGGTTTAGTCTGCTGATTTTATTCCAGGAAAATAAATACATGTGTGGCGTCCATTTCCCAGAATGTGGACGTGTACACTTAAATATATTAACCCTCAAGTAATGCAGATTTTATCAGCTAAAATAGCAGAGTGTGCTCATTTATGACCACACTATTTTTGAACAGAGAAACACCCACAGGCATCTGACAACAATGGCCGCAACATCCCTGATGCAGCATTAAAAGAGCTGCATCAGGGCTGAATATACAAATGTAAGGAAGAAGGAAACACACTGCGTATTCGTTTTTCCCATTGAGAAAGTGCTGGTACATTATCCCAGATATATCAGATATGTGGAGTTTCTTATAGTAAAGAAGTCTCAGTCTCTCCAGATGTGATGGTGTTTGCTGTAGTATTTTCACTGCTGTAGTGTTAGCTTTTTGGCAGTCATCATTCAAACAGGGTTTCACTCTTCATCAAAGAGGTGCTCACTCCAAGGATGGCTGTAAATGTGTCTGGCTCCCAGCTCTTTGAAAAATACAGGGGTACTTTGTGGTACTGCTTGAGTTTATCAGACGTTATCTATTACCCATTTTCTAAACTTGTGCACTTGTGTGTACAAGAAACATGACATTTCTTACAAACCAAAACTTTTTTCTTTCTTACGACAGAAAAAAATGCAAATAAAAACTAAAGGTTGGATACCAGATAAGGTGTGTAACTTTAACAACAATTATTATTATTATTGTTATTATTATAAAGATATTACAATATCCAACAAAGAATCGAACTAGAGGTCATATATCTCAGTTTCTTGGTTTCTCTTCTCTGGCTGCCTATAAAATCTAGAATTTGAATTCAAAATCCTCCTTATTTAAAAAATAAAAGTACTGAATGATGAGAATATCGTAATAGTATCAGAACCTCTCCAGTTTACTCTCACAATGCTGACTTGCTTGGCATTCCTAGAATTTCCAAAATTAGAATTGGAGGCGGAGCCTTTAGCTTTCAGGCAAGTCTCCAGTTTGGATTCGGGAGACGGATACCTTCTCTACTTTTGTAAATGTTGCTTTTTGAGAACCTTTATCATGAGCTGACCCTGAACCATGCCTTGGTCATGCTCCTTAGGCTACATTTCTTCTCCACTCACCTCTCACTTGCCCATGTGTTTATATGCAGCTACTGCATGTTGTTACCTTTGTCTTCTCTCCCATAGGCTGTTTTGTCCTCGCCTCTCGTCTTCTCCTTTTTCCCTCCCCTTTCAGGAGTTTTCTTCATGTTAAAGATAAATTTTTCCTTCCCGCTGTGATCAAGTGCTTGCTTATAGGTTGTTGTCTGATCTTTACCTCAAAATATAAAGCATCTTGAAGTGACTGCTGTGACACTTTATAATAGAAACTTAATTGAACAGTCAGGTTTTGTTTTGCTTCTGGTTAAAACATAAAGTAGCATTTTATTTGTATATGTGTAATATATAAAGTGTGTTTTGTGTAAAAGGGGTTAAAATATCTAGCTCTGAAATATCTGGCATTTTTAACTTTTACAATGAGTTGGAATAACTTGCATCTTGCACTGCTGCCACTGATGTACACAGGTTTAATTTTTATATACATTTTCTTTTTATATTTCTTAGACATTTTTTATGTTAAGGTGAGAGAGAAACTGTCTTTCTCTTTGTCAGGATGACATGTACAAAAAAATCTGAGTCTTTGAATCTTGAATCTAATTGCTAGCAAATATCACTAAAATCAACATGTTTAAATCCTAATTATTTTTTTAAAGATGCCATATTATATAATTCCAGTTCTAAATGACTCTATATTTAAATACAGCTTCTCAGTCTCGACTTGAAGGTTAAAGAGAAAACGCCTCTTGTAGCATATCTCACTTAACGTGTGAGGTATTATGCAACATCCCATATTGTCATCTCCACCGCCGTCCAGCAGTGCAGAACTTTAGCAGTCGTGCATATAATTCCAGTGATGCCACCAGCATTGCTTACATTTCATATTTTTCCGTCTTTAACGGGAAAACTGAGGGAACTTCCTTTTTTCTTTCCAATTTTGGCTTCCATGATAAAATCAAGCAGCACAGGCCTCTTCTTCTCTCTCTTTTTCTAAACCGCTTATTCGCCTTGAGCTTGGTTCGAGGAAACTTGCTGAAGCACTACATTGGACGTGTTCGTTAAATAATCATGACCTCAATAGTTTTTGCTGTGATGGAGCAACCATCCACCATACACGTGTGACCATTTGCATCCTCATGCACAAGGGGCTGAGCATGTGTGGTATAACTCATGTTATGGCACTGGGATAGCTGTAAAGTGTGTGTTTGCAGTACTACACACAAGACAACACAAGTAAGTCCACTGAGTGTGGAAGCCACAAAGCCCTGGCCTGTGTAATTACAGCCTCTTTGCTGATTGTGTAAACCTCTGGAGTATTTGTTCTGCAAAGCTCTATATTTTACACAAGGAGGCTTTGCTTTTCCACATTCCCCAACGAACTCGTGTACTGGAGCCTTCTCGCCTCCGTCGGTTGGTGTTTGTTAGTTTGTTTCGATGATGCACCGTTGAAGAATTTTAGTTATGAATTTTAGTTAGGCCTCTACATTCATAGTGAAACTCAAGCACAACAAGGTGACCTGGAGTCGATAGTCAGTAGTTTGCATATTGAATAGCCAACAGGAGTGGCCTCTCTATGAAAGCAAAACAAATAGAATATCCTGCTGCCGTGCACACTGCAGTCCTCGGCGTGAATGAGTGAATATTCACCTACTATGAATGGTTTCACCTTTGCTACCTGTTTGTTTGTTTGTTTTTAGCAACCGTAGAAGTCTGTTTATTAAGATCAATTAATAATTCACACCTGGTGCTCTCGCTGAGAGCCGGCTATTCCACCTGGCTGAACCCAAGTTGGCATCTAACATCTGTTTTGTTTCTCGAGTTTTATAATACAGACACTGATCTGTGGATGAGGGATTTAGGAAGTAATAAGCTGTTGGATAGTGTTTTCTAGTAGCTTCACCTCCTCTTTGTCCCCCTTCCTCCTCAATGATTTGGGTACATGTCACACTGAACACTAAAAAAAAAAAAAGGGGGAAAAAAGGCTACAACACGCCCATGCTGTGGGGCATATGTAAATGTTAACCATGGAACAGAGATAACATCAGGCTCTCTGTTGCCATTTCCTGATCCCGAGAAACAGCCTGTGTAGGCACATCAGGACACTTACACGAAGCTGGAAGATCTATAGTGCTGCAAACACCCCGTCAATTATTAACAGGCCAGTGCTCTCATTCCTCCAATGTAACCATGGCACCGAGCAGACAGAAACTCAGCCGGTAGCCTGGGATCTGCTCCTGCCTTGTGGGAAAGTAAGACGCGCACATACCGCTGACAGCGGGAGCAAGTGGACCTGTTTGACTTTATGAGCCTGTCACGAAGGAAACTATTGGGCAGACGGACCTATGGAGCGATCTTCACATGACTTCTCCATTGGAAGCAGAGGGATGACAGTTGCTACTTTTATTTATTTTTAATTTTTAACTTCTGTTTTTCTTAGTTTTCTTTTTATGGCAAATTAGTGTTTGTTGTGAAGAGGCTTGCAGACCTGCATCAGTGACCATGTGTGACTGAGACACAGACACAGGATTATTAACAGATTTGCAGACAGCTGGAGATCTTTGGTGTCTGTGAATGAGTGGGTCAGCACTGTTATCATTATGAAGTTGACCGAGCGACTCAAACGGCTGAAGCACTTGGGCTCTGTGCCTCCGGAGCCTCCGCCACTGCTGGTGGTGCCCGTAAGTGAATGGATAGTAGTTATTTTATTTGTAGTTCCTTTTTCTATTACAGTAACCAAGCAGCTTTACATTAACTTCAGCTTTAAGAGAACTTCACAGGTTACTTCCCCCCCCCACTCTTCCAGCGCTCTCTGTTAAATATCATGCTCAATTTGAACCCACAGAATTTTATTTTTATTTCTTTATTTATGTTGAACAGTTAGTTGAAAGGTTTTGTTTTACAGTGAAAGAAAGTTTAAATCAGCAGAATTTCTTCATGTCTTGTTCATCAAATGTGTCAAAGTTGTGGAAAATGTATTCTTTATTGAACACACTGACTCGGTGACAGTTCAACTTGGCAAAAAGTACGTGAGTGACTTGTAAAACCTTTGTTTATCTACGTGTGCTCCATAGCAGGCTTTTTCCACAGTTCGGTGTAAGAAGGAATAAATTTTCACATCAAAGAATCTGGGATATATTTATAGAACGGGCATCATTTGGTGATCTCAGTAAGGTCAAAGATTCTGAACATCTTCTATTTTTAATCCCTCTGTCACTGATTTCCTTGTGACACAGTTTTGTTTTGTTTTTTTGCTCCTTCACCGAGCCCACACCCGAAGGTATAAAAAGAAGGCCTGAACCCTGAGGCTCCTTCTGTTATGCTTCACAGTTTGGAGGAAAAAAAGCTGCTCTTTATTAGGGCTTTTCTTGTAGTGGACAAACTGAAGATTGGTTCTGATGTGCTTTTATCGTTGCGCTCTCTTTCGCCTCTTTCAGAAGTACGCGCCATGCTCTTGGTATGATCTTCTCAGGAAGTGTACTCCTAAGGGACCTCCTTAAATTTCTTCCTGTTTTATTGTGGACGGATTAACATGGAGACGGTTAGAAATGTAGATAGCCACCATCATATCATACGAATCTATGATTCTTTCCATACAACCCTGTGAAAGTTGCTGTGATAGAGCCATAACTGACAGAACAGACTTGTCATGTCATTGTTTATTTTTATTTATGAGGACGAGCCCTTTTTGTAACACACATTTACAATTTGGAACGTCTGACCACAAGTAGCTTTTAGAGACATATTTTCCCCCTTTAACTGTTTGTATTTAGACCTTTTCTTATAATTAGTTTAAACCTCTTAAGCTCTTTTGATATTGAAACTAAGCCTAAACCTTACAGTAGTATTAATATATTTTAGTCTCAGTCGTCCACCAGCGTCTAAAATAATTATTTTGTGAAAAGAGAATGGGAAGATTGTTTGTTCATGGATGCAGAGATATGACGTGTTGAAGGAGGCATGTCTAAAAGTTTGCATAAAATATGCAGAGATTTGAATTGCAAAATTCTACTGAAACAAGGTTTTTCCCACATAGAGGAATTACTTTTTTTACTGCCCCGAGAAGTGGTTTGTGAAAACAAACAAACGCTTTCTTAATTTCAGTCTAATTTATTTAACCGTAATTGATATTTTAGATGAAATAATAGACTGATTTCAATTACTGTATGTGCAATAACATTAACAGTCATGTGAACACACCCTTTAAAACTCCCGACCAATCAGTGACTGTCTGTTATTTAGAGCTAAATGATATTTTTCTGCCTTGAAATGAAACAACTTTGAGCTTTCTAGTTCTTAGCCTGAATGTTCAAAGCTATGCAAAAACGCAAGGGAGTGATTCCCCTACCTGACATATTTAAGGTGCTTCCCAGTTCTCCCCAGTTCTGGTGGGTTTAAAAGGGCAGATCCACCTTAAAAGCCATGTTTATTTAAGGACACTAGAGAATGACTCTTAGAGTGGGCAAAGACTCAAAGGGGAGGAGCGCTTTCCAGGTGAGGTCTTTCAGTCTCTCTGCCTGGTGTGAGAGAAACACCCCAGCTGGTCATATTACAACCAATTTCAGCACGAGGATCTAGTTTCAGCCACCATCCATGCAGAGCTCACTGGCGGGCGAAGTAACCTGAGATTACTGGATCTGTGATTGTTTTTCTGTTGCCGGCTCCATATGGGATATAAAGAGCTGGCTGTTTGCTGAGCGCTGGAGGCAGCAGGTGTTTTGTTCAGGGTAGAAATCCCAGTAGGAAATGGAAGTCAGGTTCAAAGATCACATGGTAAGTGCAGATGAAAATAAACGGAGCATTTATGGACTTAGTTATGCTTCCCTTTAGTGTGAAAAAAGCATAACTGTTAAAGATTTACAGAAATGTAAGGACGCTAGTCATTAGTGATGTGCATCAGCTCCCTTAGATTAATGTTGTTTGAAGCTGGAAAAATGATGACCTGAAGATGGAGGAGTGTCTTAAAGGAGTGCAGCTGCAGGCTTGGCAGTCTTGGATCAGGCGTTTATTAGCAGATAACAAATCACTGTCGGCTGTCGTTTGTTTTTGTAAATAATCAATTTTCTTTTGGAATATGGACGATGCTCATATTTACATCTCATCTTTCTCTGATCTATAACGATGCGATCTTTATCTGCAGTTTCACATGCATCTCATTGCTCCGACATCGTGACCTACATCCAAAGTTAAATTTTAACTGGTTGTAAAGTCAGTGAGCTGTAAATGAGCTCTGAGAGCGTAGACCTTCCCGGCAGCTCAGTGTCCTTCTACATTGAGTTGTTTTGTATACTTTGTTGCTGATGTGATTTCCATAAAGGCATATAGTCCAACTACTCATCAAGCCTATTCACGGACTCCTCAAAAAAGTTGCTTTGTTTGAAAACTGGCACACTTAAGTGACCTTTCTGTGTCGCTTGCAGCTTTGAATCTATAAATGCAACAAATCTACTGCAGATTTTAAAAAAGAAAAAAAAAAAACGTAACTACTTCAGCTGCTGTTTCAGTCGACCTTATCATCAAATCAGAAAAAGTCATGACCAGCTTTTGTTTGAATACTAATGTCAGTACTTGTATTTTTTTTTTATTTATTTTTTTTACCTTCTCCAGTTTATGATTAACCAAGTCAAACAAGAGGCCTGCTGTTCCCAGGTTAGACATTGTACACCTGCGAGTTTAAGGTTTTCCTGGTGATCATTTGTGAGATTTTATTTTTGTTGTTGTTTTTTTTGTGTAACCTAATTTGAAAAACTAAACAGTCAGAGTCAGCAAATTGAGGTTGTTTAATTAGGTTATGTGTTTGGGTGTGACTGGACGTTGGGTGCTCGGCTGATGTTGCTGTACTTTAAGCACTAATGGGCCTTGTACTTGTCGTGTGCCCTGTTCAGTGTTTAAACAAACTCCAAGTCTAAGCAACACTACACCACTGTGTGTCTGACTTGAGTATCAGGCTTTACTCGTTCTGGCTGTAGCTTAGCAAGCGTCTTCCTCGGTGTATGAAATATAGTCCATGGCCAGGCTGCAGTGTTGGCTTGTTTTTTTTGTTTTTTTTTTAAAAAAATGCAAATCACATTGGGCATGTTGCCATGTTCCTGTAAGTCAAAGGTCGTCTTTTTTTCACTGATATAAATCCCCCCAGAAGAATCTAATAGTTCCTTGTCACCAGTTGCTCTACAGTTTCGTTCATCCCCAGGTACTCGGCCAAACAGCCATGTCTACTTGTTCCTTATCTCAGATGCCAGGATGGAAAGCTCTTATTTGAAACAATAAGCTAAATATTGTAACTTGATAATGTCAGCATGGACTGTGTTAAAGGATCCCATTGCATTTTGCTCGATTCTCATATATATATATATATATTAAAATTTTTCCAGTTGTTGGTTGTAGTCTGTGGCGTAAAGGTGGTTAAAAACATGCACACACATACCAGGTAGCCCCTCCTCCATACTGGTCAGGCAGGATTGCGACAGGTGAGAGCATGTTGAGATCAGGTTCACGTATTGGCACATTCTGTCTTCCACTCAGGCTCAGCTGTCCTCTCTGTAAGGACCTGGACTATATGTTGATTATGAGTTAATTAATCATGATTTATTATTGTCAATTGCTATAAAAAAAGATAATTTTTCTTATCGTATTTTTTTCCCCCCAGAAACCAGGCATGGAGGAGATAACAATATGGGAGCAACATACAATAACGCTAAACAAAGTAAGTGATTTTTTTTTTTGTTATTGTTTGTTTGTTTGTTGTTGTTTTTTAATTGAATAATTGAGATATATATGTGAGGTGTTATGGTGAAACCGCTAGCGTGTTTTACTTTTCCAGTTGTTTAATCAACATGAAATAATGAGTAGGCTAAATTAAGTTTAACATGGAGATTCTAGTGTGTGGCTAAACAAATACACATGTGGAAAGTGTGTTTCGTTGTGGTTTCTGAGGGACTGTGTTCAAGTCCTCTTAGTTTCACAGCACAGGCTCCGTCAGGAATTCAGTGACACACCCTGCTGCACCCCACGGCACCAGCCAGCTCTTCGCTGTCCTGCCTCATTGTTGGCGACACTGGAATGTGTTCTTTCCTCCTCCTATCTCTCTACTGTATCTCCCACTCATGCTCATCCACCCACCTACTTCCCTGCACTCTTTACTGTCCATCATTTTCTCTCGGTCTCATTTTTTTTCTTGTTCTTTCTAAATGGCAGGATTCCAAGCTAGGATTCGGTTTTGCAATATCAGGAGGCAGGGACAAGCCGCAGCCCGATGGGGACACGTCAATTCTGGTGTCAGATGTGCTGCCAAATGGACCAGCCATGGGACGACTGTTGTAAGTTGGAGGCCTTTTGCTTTTAATGTGTGTAGAGACCTCTTTAAGATTTGACTGTTGAATGAACACCTGGCTGCCTGTATATACTTGTACTTCTGCAGCACCAAAGACCAAATTGTCATGGTCAATGGCGAACCTATGGACAACGTCCATTCTAACTACACCATTCAGACCCTGAAGTCTTGCGGCAAGACTGCAAACATAGTAAGTGTGCACCGAGCCTTATTTAATTTGTGCCAAGTGGCTTCCAATCTTGGGTTTCTTTCTGATGGGCGTCTTCTGCGTCTTTCCCAGACAGTGAAACGTCCTCGTAAGATCCAGATCCCAGCAACCTCATCCACCAGACCCACTCGGGCAGCCTCGCACTCCAACTTGCTGGATGCGGACCCTCCGAGACGGCAACGACGCCACTCTGATGGGAGTGACAACATGGACTCCAGCCGCTACCGTGACGATGACCGCTATCGTGCTGATGACCGTTATCGCACCGACCGTTACACACGCCGAAGCCCCACGCCCGAACGCAACGGGCTTGCAAACGCGGCGCCGTTGATTTCATCAGGGTACAAGAGGCTGCCGCTCAAAAATGTTTCAGAAAAACCCATCAGAACTACTTTGATTAAAAAGAAAACCACAGATGGTAAGATTTCAGGAATGAGAGCGAAGGGAAACCTTTTTTGTTTGTGAAGAAGCGAAGCTTTTTAGACAAAAAGAATCTGCTCAGCTCATCTTTTTTAAAGTGCTTATTTCAGTATTTCTGGCTTTATTTTTCTGCAGAGTATGGACTGAAACTGGGCAGTCAGATCTTTATCAAGCACATGACAGAAACTGGCCTAGCTGCAAGGGAAGGCACCCTGCAGGAGGGCGACCTCATTCTCAAGGTAATATTTCACTTGTCTTGGAGTATTTTTAAGCTACAACTATTCTACAAGACTGGAAGATTTCATTATTAATCTTCAGTTTGTCTTAATCAAATTTGTATCTGTGAGCAGATCAATGGCATGACAACAGAGAACCTATCCCTGCTGGAGACCAAGCACCTGGTGGAGAAGAGTAGAGGCAAACTGACCATGACTGTCCTCAGGGATGACCGTAGATTCCTGGTCAGCATCCCAGAGGTGGAGGACAGCCCCCAGAACAGCAATGATGAACGTCGCAAAGACAGCAGCTCAGAGCTGGATGGTAAGGGAATCAAACACAGGGGAAAAGGTGGAGAAATCAAAACGGTGAAGCAGCTTCTACTTATTTCATGGGTGAAATCAAAGTGCTGTAAAGTCGGTCTAATCCTGTAATGTCCCTCATGTTTGCTACAGTCAAATCCCTTTAAATGTAGAACTTTTTTGGGCTACAGGCTCAGATTAATTAATTCAATCTTGCAAACACCCCCTGTATAACTTGAAAAGTTAATACATTTTCTGTTTCTGTCTCCCATCAGAAATTTCAGACATTGATGAGGACGTTCCAGCCCACAGGACACGTCCAAGCGCCAAGGAGAGGCGGACACGCAGGTACAGACTTTACCCTGTCACCCCACCGATGTAATGCACAAAAAACGTAAATCCTTTATTGGATTTGATCTAAAAGCACTGAAGAAATCTTTTATTTCTCACACAGAACAAAAGCTGAACCTCCACTGCCAAAGTCTCGGGATCAATCGCCTGTGCGCTCCACCTTATCCCGGCCACCTGTAAAAGCCTACGCTCCTCGCCGAGGTCAGTCCTGCAGAGAATTACTTTATTTTATTTTACTTTTTTTTTTTTTTTGTGCAGAAGCACAAAGATGCTTGTACTCAAACCAGCACTGATTTGCTGATTTTCTTGGAAAAAAAATCTTTACATGTCCTATAATTAGTTTTCTAACTGTTGATTATTGTTTATTCAGCTCCGTCTGAATCTGAGTCCGACCACAGTGCATCTCCTCCTCCTCCAGTCAGGAGAGAGAGGGACAGGGACAGCCTGGACCAAAACAACAAATACAAGTCAGTTCACACGGATGATATCATTAAAATGACCTAGGTTTATTTTATTAAAGTATATGTTACTACATATTAAATGCAGTTAAAACTGTATGAGACATTATTTTTGCTTTTACTCTTTGAGCAGATCTCTGTCAGGAGTCTCCACCCTCCCCAACCCCAAATCCTCTCCTGTTGCTCACAACTGGACTGCACCCGTCTCCGTCTCCTCCACTTCCTCACGCCCTCGCAGGCCGGTGTCGGAGTCAGACTCTGACCCCGAAGGTTCCCCACCCCCACGCAGAGATGGCCCTCGTCTGGACAGTAGATACAAGTACGGACATTTCTTTATCCAGTTCCAGGAATAAACAACAAAAGCACCAAGATCACTTGCACAGAAATATTCAAAAACAGAAGCCATAATTTGCACCAGCGTCATCAGTTATTTTGGTAAACAATTATTCATTCATGCCCCCAACCCTTTCTTGTCTCTGCAGAGTTCTGCCTGATCGTTACGCAGGCCGGGTATCTTCCCCCATCGTTGTTCGCCAAGATCCACCAAGGAGGGTCAACTCACCTGTGAGAGGCCCGCCTCCAGGTCTGCACAAAAACACGCAAACAATCCAGTCTCCTTGTGATGTACACGTCCCGGACTTTGTCTCACACCTCCTTGGAAATATTTACTTTATCTTTAAATGTTTGCTTATGACCACGTGTCAGCAGTGAGATGAAGCTAAGGCCAGAGCAGAATATGAAAGATGCACATGAAAACATAAGATGGCTTGTAAGTGAATGAATGTAGAAGAGATAAAGTAAGTAAGAGTAAAAGATCCAGCAGTGCACGTATGAATGCATGTAACACTGCATGCAACACTACACTTAAAATATAGAAGGAAATGATGGCTAAAAAATAATATTCATGTAAATATTTTTGAAAGCATTATTTATAAGTGATTAGATCAAAGCATAAAGGTGGAAAACATTATGTATAACTCTTCATTCAATCGTCTCATTGAGATCAAAACATTTTCCAAGAAAGGAGAGACGACAGATGCAATAATCATAAATAATGTTGGGTAATAAAGAAACTGTAGTATCTGAAAACAGTTGTTATTCCACACATGAGCATTAAAGATACTGGATTTTGAATTGTGGAGATTTGAGGCATCTCGGGAACGTAAACACACAATGGAAATGCTGCAGATTAATCAGAAGTAAATATGTTGTTTACTGTTTATATTAAAAAAATATTAATAAAATTAATCTATAAACGCTTTTCTTTCTCCTCAGATTCTGACTCCGAGTCGGATGGCTTCTCTGAGCCTCCTCAGAGGCGTAGCACCACATACAGTCAGGACTCTCTCAGCAGATACAGGTACACATGAAACCCCCACACCTACCTGAAACCCAACAAGATCTCACGGACCGGAAACTGAGCAGACTCTGTGGCTCTCTGGTTGTTAAACTTAGTTAATCATATATATTTTTATTTTTAATGTTAAACTACCTAACCTTTGCTCTTTGAGTTGTTTAAATTTGATTTTCATTTTGTGCTTTGTCTCATTTGGAAATTTCTTTTTATTTTGTCTGATTTTTCTGTTTTTGACTGTGTACAGAATCTGTGCTTTAATTTTGTTGACCAATAAAATAAAACTGAACATGTCCTCTCCTATATGTGGCTGAAGTGTTGATTAAATATAGGACACTCGTTGCAGCAACAATCATATCGTAGAATAATTCCCTAAGACTCAAATCAAAGTCTTTCAAAGTTTTGCGTAGTGTGCATGTGTTATACAGCATGTTTGAATCTCACAGTGAGCATCACAATCAAGTAGCTAATAGCTAAACTTAATAGAGTGGTTAATTTCAATCAGTCACAAAGCAGTTTACCGCCAAAGAGAGAGCTTCCCTCAAACAGAATAAGGTGAATATTCAATATTTTAGTCTCATCCTCTCATCAATAATCGTCTATTAGCCGCTGGTCCCCCTCGCCAAACGTAACTGAGATTTGTTGTCTTCCTCCTCCCTCACTCCCACCTCCCTCTCTTCTCTTCCAGGGTCCTGCCAGAAGTTTCCCTGCAGCCAGAGGTGGAACCACCAAAATGGAGCACTGCCAACAATCCACCACAGAAAGGTGTGTGTGTGTGTGTGTTTTGTAGTGAGCAGTGGGAGTTCATATTTGGTGCCTGGAATCTAAAAGGACGCATGAGTCATCTAACAAATAATAAAACTTTCCATAAAGACAGTCTTGACTTATTGATCTCCACAGCGAATTCGGACTCTGAATCAGAGGCCAGTTATGCGCCAGTCCCCAAGAGGGAATCCACCGGCAGTAAAAACTCAGCAGCCAGAAATAGATACAGGTGAGAGACGCCTTCCACTTTGACTGTCTCATCAAACGCATTGAGTCGTGCTTCATGCTTCAACACCTATTTTTTTTATTTATTTATTTTTATATCCACCTTCTTTTGATTATAATGGAACTTAATGCCTTTTGCCTCATTTTGCTCAACATGGCAAAAGATACACTTGAAAAACTTCCCAGAAATCATCATCTGGTTACTCACAAAAAAGGAAAAAGAAGATCAGATCAGTTTGATATAGGAACTGATTTTTCTCTAAGGGAGCTACACCCACTGACCACATCACTGTGTCAGAAGGAAGCACACATGATGAGGGGATCATGCTTTAATGTCACTTCCTTTGGTACCTACAGCTTCCCTTGTTGTTCAGAAGGAAAATGGTTCCTACATGAAACCACTCAGTTTAATAAACTGCTTCTAAAAATAAACACTGCAGCCGACTCTTTCCAAATTAATATTATTTTATTTTGTTTGTCAGTTTTGTTTATTTACTATCCTAATATAAAACCTCACACATGTCTGAGTATGAACTCCTACGTGATCAGGAATTTAAGCAACCAAACTCGACACACAGGTATGTCTTAGGCCCCTGAAGCTTATCTGTACCAGATATTTCTTGATGTTGCTAAGCAACCACATATCAACAGAAACATTGTTAGCATTGATGCACCTCTGACACCTTTGTGAAACTACAACATTTTAATATAATATTTATATTCACAAAAGTTGAATATGATGATTAACGCCACTATATTGCGCAAAAGTTTTGAGCTTTCTATTTGTATTTTTTGTTTTTTAAGCAGTCTTGAGCACTTCTCTAGTCTTTCTGAAGAGTTTTCAGTCCAGTCCTTGTACCTGTCCATTTTCAGAGGAAGGTTTTGATTTGTTAAGCCACTTAACACTGACCTATGAAGCATCCAGAACTAGTGCAATGCAAAGAACCAATTTTCAATCATATTTTAACTTTTTTTTTTGCCTTATTTACTGTATTTCCATGTATGTTTGCACATTTCAGTAAATTACCTCAAGCATTTTCCATTTTCCAAGAAAAATGTCATGAAATAAGAGTTGATACAAGACTTTTGCACAGTACTTGTTTTATTTATTGCACTTTTAGCACAGGCTAGAAATAATTTAAAGCTGCAACTGTAGAAAGAGAAAGTGAAAATATGAGAAATGCAAGTTACAGCTTCACTGTGAACTGTGGGAAATCACACTGAGAGGATGTCCGACAGGTTTTTATGCTTACCACAAACACAACTGTTGCCTGATAGTAACGTGCTTTGTGCACACGGGGGCTCATTACATGACTTCCTGCAGTGATTGCATCACATAATATTCAAACTGCCGACTTAGAAAACCATATCGAAATCTCGTGTGGTTTTCTAACTAACATGCACTAACTTGACTGTCAATTTATGGCTTTTGCATTTCTCATCGTATGTTTAGGGAACATTTAACAAGATGACGGCTGAAATTTAATTCAGTTTTCCCCCCATTCTTCTCTCAGAGTGCCTACTTCGGTGCCTGTAAAGCAGGAGCCTCCTCATCGAGCCCCGTCGCCCGCTAGACCGCCTCCAGATGGTCAGCTGATTACTTTTTTGCTTCATCTTCAACCTCTCTTTCTCTCTGTTTTTAGATAAAAGCATTAGAGCACCACAACCAAAGAAAATCCTCACAAACTGAAGTCTCCCTGCTTAAAGTTTTCATTTTTCTAAAACCAGATTCCTCTGAGTCAGATGAGCTTTCACATCTTAGGAGGTCTGGCAGCTCTGAGCGGGGGAACAGTCAGCGCAGGTACATCAGGAATTAATTCATTAAAATCAGATTAAAATATGGCAGCCCGAAATGTGTTTTCTCTTAAATAACCAATATTACTGATTTCTGTTTTCTCCACCTCAAAGTGCTCCTCGTGCTGCAAATGGAAACGGCACCATCAGGTCTGGGATTTCAGTCAAGAACAACCTGCCCATCTACTGTAAGGCTCAGGATGTGTAGCATGATTATCATAAATAAGTTTTCAATCTGTGGGTTGAAATAAACAAACCTTTTTTGGGCATCAAGATATTTTTGTGCTTTTCTTCTATTTTATTTTTTTGACATCTTATGAGTTGACATCTTTTAGGCGTCTAACCATCTCTGCATTTCTTCCAGCCAAACCTGAAGAAGAGCCCCTCTATTCCCTGCCTCCAGATTCATACCCATCATCTATTCCAGGGTGAGTGCCGCATTTGCTTAAAGCGTTGCCCCGTGTCTTAGCGTCATAGCAACAGTAATCGGATTCCTTCGGTTTCCCCTTTAGGTACAGCTCAGATGTGAAGACAGTGTCATTTATAAAGGAGAGCAGTTTGGGTCTTAGACTCGTGGGAGGCAACGACGTTGGGATCTTTGTAGGTGGAGTCCAGCCACACAGCCCTGCGTATGAACACGGGATGAAGGAGGGAGACCAGATCATGCAGGTGACCTTTGTTTGCACACCTTATATGGAAGTGGTTATGGCGGCATAGATTAACAGCGTCTTGTCCAGTTTAGAAAAACTCTTTAGCTTAAATGAGATGTTTATGCTCATTTGCATTTCTTTATTAGTTTTTTTTTTTTGACCGTTGTAGTTGTAGTTGTAGTAGTAGTAGTAGTAGTAGTAGTAGTAGTATCCATGTCATATGTACCGAGTAAAAATGACCACTGTCCAAAAACCTTATGCTCCTAGCTGTGCATTTACATTGTTATTTGACACCTGTCCATTTTTTTTTTTTTTTTATATTTTAAATATGACAGAAAAAGACCAGAGTCCAAGTTCATCCCTGTTCTTCTTCTTCTTTTCAGGTTAATAAAGTTGATTTTGGCCATTTCACACGAGAAGAAGCTGCCAACTTCCTCCTTGAGCTCAGGACAGGAGAACGGGTGGAAATCTCCACGCAGCATAAGATGGACAGTAAGTGAAGAGCAAAACCTTAATATGACACCGAGATGACTTCTGTTGAGTTGTGTCACGTGTCACAAAATCTTATTTCGTCTATCTTCAGTTTACAAAAAGATCCTCAAGTCCAACCTGGGAGACAACTTCTACATCCGCACACATTTTGACCATGACCCCGATAACCCCATTGGTCTGGGCTTCACCAGAGGAGAGGTGTTCAGAGTGGTGGACACAATGCATCGTGGAAAGATAGGCAGCTGGTTGGCTATCCGCATGGGGAATGACCTGCACGAGATGGACAAGGGCACTATCCCAAATCAGATCAAGTAAGGAGAAAGAAGACGATAAGCAGATGAAGATCTCTTTGCTTCCACGAGGACTGTTTCAGTTTTTTACATCTGCCGTCTTTTCCTGCAGGGCAGAGAAGATGGCCAACATCGAGAAGGCACAGCGGGCGACCGGAGAGAGGCAGGCAACCGGACCGAGAGCCGAATTCTGGAAACTACGGGGGCTCCGAGGGAATAAGAAGAACGAGAAGAACATGCGACGGAGTCGCGAAGACCTGCTGCAGCTCACCATTCAGGGCAAATTCCCAGCTTATGAGAGAGTCCTGCTCAGAGAAGGTTGGATTTATTTTTTTTAATCATACCCTCACACAGATACTTTGTTTCATGCATAAAGGTCCAGGTTTAACAACGTTTACTGGTTTTTCTCCAGCTAATTTCAAGCGGCCCATTGTTATTCTGGGACCTCTTAATGACATTGCCATGGAGAAGCTGGCACGAGAGCTGCCTGATGATTATGAAGTGGCAGGTTGGTTTGTTTTGGGCTGTTTTGATACCCCTTTTTTATTCTTGAGTATTATTTCCCTCCTTTTTCACTTATTCTCCTCATCTTCTATTTTATTTAAAATATTTTGGGTGTGTTGTTCTATTTCTACAGAGATGGTTCCTCGCAGTGGAAGTGCAGATGGCAGCTCCACAGTTATTAAATTGGACACTGTGAGGAGAATAGCAGAGAAGGTGAGCAGTAACATTAAAGTTATGTTTACAGTCCTGTTTTCTGTGTCTGTTTGGTATTTCCTCTTTGATTTTTATTTTTTTTCCCTCTCTCGTCCCAGGATAAGCACCCTCTGCTGGATATCACTCCCACTGCAGTGGAAAGGCTCAACTACATCCAGTACCACCCGATGGTTTTGTTCTTAGACCCTCACAACCGCAAGGATGTCAAGACCATGAGGCAGAGGTACAGCCCCAAATCCAGCAAGAGCTCCAGACGCCTTTACTCACAGGCCATCAAAATGAGAAAACACTGCAGCCACCTTTTCTCGGGTAATTTTAACACTTAAAGCTTTTTCCAGTACATCTATGAGGAAATAAAATTTTCTCTGTCTGCTGGTACAAGTTTAAAATGTTTACTTCTTTTGGTTTATTTTTTTGTTTTTTTCCCCTTCAGCTCGAGTGGACCTGGATCCCAGCTCCCACTCTTGGTATGAAAGTCTAAAGAATAAGATTCGCCACGAGCAGACCAAACCCGTCTGGGTGTCTGAAGTCACGGTACAACACACAGCTTCTCTTCACACACACATCTGTACACTAAAGCGATTATGAGATATTATTTTATATACAGATCGATGTGGTGTTTTGTTTTTTGTTCTTAATTTATTGCTTTAGTTCTTATAACAATCTAATGAGCGCACCGACTCTCATGATGTAGTTTTACATCTTTCTGTTTATTAATCCAAGTGCTGTGTGGCTCAAATGATCCAAAAACCTGATTATTAGTTAATTGACACGAATATTAAGCCACAAGAAACGGAGTAGTTTGAACTACAGTTCGTTATTGACCAAAAACTGAGCCAACGTGAAATTCTAGAAATCTGCAAAAAGAAAAACAAAAATTGCACCTGTAGTTAAAAACAAAGCTTATGATGATGAGTTTGTGATGCTGGTGTGATTGAACCAGCTTTAAAAATTCTCGGCTACATAAACAAATATAGTGCAACACAAATGAAGCATAGCACTCTGGGTGGTCCCAAAAATTGTAAATAAAAGATGGACAGGCCATCTTTGCTGGGGTACACTAGCTGCAAAAAGATGCAGTTCTATGGAAGTCTGTGAGAAAATGACCCTCTGGCTTCTCTGACTGCTAACCTGTGTAAACGCTTTCCTGATGAGTTTATGGTCTAGAGTTTTACGTCTTACGTTTTACAAAGCAAACAGTTTTTATTAATATTTTTTCCATTGATTATGTATTGTAAAGTTAGTTAAACACTAATAACTAAAGCTGTTTGATTTCTCTGTCTGCACAGTTGGAGAGTGGTGGAGAACAAGATTTGGATGCTTTGGACCAGAACCAGACTGACTACCTCAGTGCTGCTAGTGACCTGGAGGACACCGATGGAGAGGGCTTCACAGACGACGCCTACACTGACAACGAGGAACTCGAGGAGGCTTACCCTGGTCAGAATACAGCCAAGGTCCCAGGGGGCTCCAGGGTAGCTGGAGCTGCTTTAGCTCGATCATCCGAGCCAGCGTTTGAACACCACAGCCCCTCTATAGAACCCGAGGAAAGCGATGACTCGTACGGAGTCAGAGAAGTCCCGCCAATAATGCACGTACCTGAACCCAGGTCACCTCGTCAGACGAATTACAGCCCGCCGCAGAGCGATGCCGAGGAGGAAGATCCCTCTCATCGCAGTTTTACAGACTCAGATTTCAGCGCTCTTGATGTAGCTTCACACGCCGCTCCGTCTGAAGGACCGCCAGATTTTAGAGCCCCCGACCCCACAAGCCAGTACTCGGTGGACGAGCCTTCATACACAGAGGAGGAGCCGGAGAGCTTCCAACACGCCAGCCTGTCTGCTATCGAAGACAGATTAGAGCAGGTTTGTGCCCTCATTAAAACAGTTACTGGATACCAGTTCTTTTTTCTTTCTTTTTTTTATCCTTTTACTTAAAACCAGCTGTGTTTCAGTCCTTCACTTAACAACAAACAGTTTTGATAACAAAAGATGAATTCAATTTTTGAAACGGTAAAACAAAATGAAGTATTACTTCTAGCTTTTACTCGAGTTTAACTTGAATTTAAAACGAGGGGCATTTAAGGACGTCGACTAAGACTAAACAGATTTAGTTTAAAAAAACAACAACAAACAAACATCATCCAGAGTGCCAATGTTTTATTTTGTTTTGGATTTTTTGTTCCTAAGAATGTGTCTTGGGATTTATTAAACTGTGCAATGTATATTAATACATCTGAGTAATACAGTATTCAGACAAGTTCAGAGGATAAAAGGAAATAATAATAATAATACAGGCCTGGTCAGATGACATGCTGTGGTGACTGGTGAATTTCCAGAGCTGAGCATTTGTTTCCTTTAAACAATCTGTAATCGATTACAAAATTCCCTCAGGTTTTCTTAATTGAAGGTGTTGCATCCTTTAAAAAACCCCAAAAAACGCAAGGTTCATTGGTTTTTCTTGTTTGTCTACTTCTTCTTTAAAAGAACGTGACTATAATTAGTTGACACAAACGACTCAAAGTTCTGGAGGTGTTTTTCAAGGAGAAAGTTATGAAAATTTGTAGTCTGTTTTATTTCCAACTTTTTAAATGCAAAGCTCCTAAATTAAATTCACATTAACCTTTTTAATAAATTTTTCTTTTCCCCCCCTCATTTTTGGAACCTTATCATAAATTCTTCCTGGCTATGGAGGCGGTGCCGAATTGGCACACATATAACAACCTCATTTTAAATTCAGTATAAAGATTATAGTAAGTGTGGTTTCTGTTTTTCAAGAGGTTTACAGCCTGTTTATCATCATGAATACAGAGACTAGGACAAATCCTCAGTGTGTATTAACTGGTTCGGAAAGGCTTATGTGGATTTTAAAATCCATCTCTTAAAATAGTCTCTTAAGACTAAATAATTGTGAGAAGTCACTGTTTTATATCCTCTGTTACAGGCTCGCTCGGGAGAGGAAGAGCCCAGAGATGAGCAAAAGAAAGCCCCACAATTCATCGTGTAAGTCTTCTTGAGCCGTCTGCGGGTTTATGGGGTTCATGGAGTAACGCCAGACTGAGGCTGTGCGCTGATTTTTGACCCATCCGTTCTTCTCCCGTACAGGCTCGCACATCACCACCAAGCAGTCCAGTTCAGACGCACACAGATCCAGGGCAGCGACAGCTCTGAGGATGAATTTGACGATGCGGACGATATGGAATGGGGTCCCGCAACTGAGCTTTAGATGCCGAGAGGACTGATGCGGCTTTTCCTTGTGATCTACAAAGGACATGGAAATGATTTCATTCCCGCACTGAACTCTGTTATCTTGGATGGTATTGTCATAGTGTTTTTAAATTCATGTAAAGGGAGCCTCGTTCAGGTGTCACTGTAGCCTTTAATGACAACTGCAAGTTTTAAAGTCACCAAAAATCCTCTCAGAAGAATGTTGAGATCAAAGTGCCTGATTTGTTGTTTTTTTTCAGTGTTTTTTGTATTTATAAAAAACAAAACTCTGTGAAACGAATCAATTTCAAATATATATTTTATAAGAAATCATATGAAATATGCATCATTTTAGGAATAGCAAGGACATTTATACTTTAGATTTTTCTACATTAAACTGTTTGTTCTTCTGATTTTAAAATGGGTTTGTTTGATGATGCAGGACGACGAAAACATACTTGATCAGCTTCATTTTACCAAGCTGTCACTAAAATCACTCATATTAACATAAGTGAAACTGTGAATATTACATGTGTTACTATGGACATTCACTGGATAGTAAGAGTAAAAGATTGGCACACTATTTAAGTTACCACTGACTGTCAGAGGCGTCAAAGGACCCGGATTCACTTTGTTGTTGTTGCTTTTTTTTTTTTTTTAAATATATAATAAATTAAAAAAAAATCTATTTGGTAATATTAGCATCTAAAAATTAAAACTGAGATATTTTCTCCCAAACTTCAATCTTTGGCATTCCTTTTTTAGTACCCTTTAGTATAGTGGTGTTTACTGTAAACGAAGGATTGTACCAGGAAGTGCATCCAGCACAAAACATGCAGAGCTACCTGCTGGTTTGACTTCTTAAATAAATAAAGGTTCTGTGGTTAGGGCTCCATATTGTTATTGAAACGGTTTTAATTGCCTTTAATGTACAAGCACATGAATATGTGCTGTGATATTTGTGTCACTCATCGGTGATTAGTATTAATATGCTTGTACAGAGGTGGACATGCAGATTCACACATCTGCAAAAAGTAACTGTGGAAGCAAAAGGAATTAAACAATTGTCAATTACACAGAACAAATACAAAAATAATTTGAATTTTCTAGATAGTTATTGTTGACACGGTTTCATGTTTCCCCTTTTTGAAATTCCCAGAAAGTAAATTTAGTTTAGCGGGATCCTCTTCTTAAAATGCGGGAGTCTGAATTACTCTTGTTTTTGTATGACTTTCACTTCATATAGTGGATCTCAAACCGCGTCGACTCAACTCTATTGAAATAAAACATGAACTGATACAGATTCGGTACTTGCTGTGATCAAATGCTATAAATTGATGTTACTTGGGATCTATTTTGCTTCCATACAATTCATTTAACATTATTATCAGATGTAGGTTAATAATTTCTCCGCTTTCCTTCTGATAATGAAAAAATTAAACAAAGCTCGGTCTAAAGCGGTTTCGGGGCGCATGTACACCTCGGGGTTTTAATTCTGTGGCCCGAGCAGGTGCACAGAGGGGCGGAAGGTTACCGTCAAAAGCGTCGTTTCAGATGTTGGGAACACACGTGTGTCAGGATGGACTGATTGCTGCTGTGAACGAGGCAACAAGTTGTTGCTTGTGTTCGCTGCTTCTGACGTCACCAGGAGAAACGCCGTCGGGACCGCATTTCCCCGCGTGCACCTCAACCTGAATTAATCCTCGCGAAGCTCGGTGGATAACAAAGTCATCCGTGCGTCTTTCCTCCTCCTCCCCCCAGAGGAAACTGAAACGCGCGCGCACAGCGGATGCCGGGTGCGCACTGACGGTTTGCGGTGAGTTTCTCTGTCAGTGAGCCTGCGCGGCTCGATGAGTGACACCAGGAGGAGGAAGAAAGACAGACAGTTATCGTGGCTCAAACTCGACCTGGATGGCACCCAGCTCCCGCTGAGCTCGAGCGGCAGAGCACCCAAGTGGCGAGTCGGGGGGTGGGTGGGGGGGCTGTACGTGAAGCTTAAAGAAGTCGGGATGGACGGCAAAGGCACCCTGAAGATGTTCAGGAAAAAACGGGAACTAATCAAGACACCGTCTATCTCGAAGAAGAGTCGAGCAGGAAGCCCTGGGCCACAGAGCAGCGCCCCGTCTGTGAGTAGCGCATCACTTCTGGTTTCTTATGTTTAACTGTGTGTGTCAGATGACCATCATCTGGAGTGGACAAGTTTCTGAGAGGGCTCATTACCAGGGATGCTTTTGTTTGTGTGTGTGTTTGTGTGAGGCTCTGTAAGTTTTTAGTCTTTTTTTGGGGGGGGGATCTTTTCTGCTGCTGTAGCTGGTGCGATCAGGGGTGTGAAAACTGTCCTCTAGCTGAAACCAGTCATTATAATGCAGTGTCACAGAGCTGAGTGCTGAGATGGGTACCTGACTGTAAGCTGACTCATATCTGGTTATGTGGCGCATAGGAAGTATGTCTCCTGTGGGGTTTTTGCGTGTGTGAGTGAGCAAGTGAGTGAATGCGTTTTGAGAATTTGTGATTAGAATGAGGACAAAAGTCTAGAGGGCAAGGAGCATGCTGAAACGTGGTGGCAAAAATAGTTACAACCCTTATTCTACAAGTCAGAGAGTTAAAAAAGCCGAGTCGAAAGGCAAGGACAGACTGGACATACTGCCCAACAAGCACAACGTATGGCTGAAACAGGTACGTTTGTCGTGTACACACAAGTCTCTGAACAGAAAATATGCACTGATGCTTTTTTTTGGTTTCCTGTAAAGTATTTAAAAATTTCAGGCTGCTTTTGCTTGGTTGAGATGCACTTGTCGAGCCCTAAATCTACAGGCCGCTGACTTTAGTTGAAGTTTTCTGTTGAGTACCAACAGGCCAAAAAAAAGCAAAGAAACTTCTCCGTGAGTTGTGTGTTTTGTTTATTTTATTTTTTTGTAGGTGATGTATAAAGTTATTCGACTTTCTGCTGAGTTTGCCACACCCGTTAACAGCTTGGAGTCAGGAAGTATTGCACAACGCAGCACAGGATCTTGTGAAAGTCTGCATATGATTGTTTACTAATAACAACAGTGCTGCTGGCCCCAGAGGCAAAGAAAAGTCACCTTGTTAGCCGTAATGCTGAAAGGGACGAGCTACATTGCAGTCTTGACCTTCTCTGTCTTCCTGTCCTCTCTCAGCTCTCCATTCTCCAGGAGCAGCCTCGCAGAGATGCAGTCGACATCACACTCTTTTGTTCCCCCTCGTCTTCCTCCTCCTCGTCTTCAACACTTACCCCAACTTCCGCCGGGCTCCAGGATCCCTCCGCGTCCTGCCCGGGCACCCCGAGCACTCAGCATAATAAATTGGGAATGATGCAGGGGGTGGGCTGCCCGTCTCCTGTGGCCACTCTCAAGAGACCGACCGCACTGAGCCGACACGCCAGCGCTGCAGGTCTGCTCCATCACATCAATTATAGTCTTGCTCCTGCTTGCTGAGCGTGGCCCATCACAAACAGAATCTGGTCAAAACACCATTTATGATCTGTAACTGAAGCATTTATGTGGCGTCATCACCTTTTAAACATTTAATATGAGTGAAGCTGAAAAGTTTGAGATTATCGACTTGGATTTCAAAGCCTAGAAACTGTGAAACTGAGCAGTTCTTTAACTAATGATTGCTCTTTAAATAGATTTCTTACACTGTTAAATGTAAGAAGGAAAATCATGACCAGAAATTGCTATTCTACAACTTCTGACCAAGAACAAGCCAAAAAAAAATGCTCTAATGTAAAGGAATAGTCAAATGTTTTGGGTAGATGCGAAGGGCCCCCTCTAATGTCACATTAATGTAAATGTAATCTAATGTAAATGTAATTCCACTGGGACTAGTGAGCATATAAGCTTGAAACTGTTGCACATTTGCAGAAAACCAAATGATACAGATCCCCACGTTTCATGAAGATTATTCAGTAAAAATTTAAAGTCTCACATGAAGACTAAATGCGTGTTTGTTGAGTGATATTTCTGTCTCCTCAGGGTTCCCGCTCCAATCGTGGGTTTTCACTAGAGGTCAGGGAAAAGGGGCTATAACCCCGACGACTCCATCTGACAGTCCAGAGAGCACAGCCATCGAGGTGGAGGACATCCCAGCCCTGCTGAGGGATGTCGCACGCTTTGCAGAGGCTGTGGAGAAACTGAAGGATGTTGTTCTGGCTGAGGGTGAGAGCCGTGACAGGTTTAAGCTTTGTCTTGTACATCTCCAACACAAACCTGCGTGAGAAGCCCCCAAATACATCCTGTCAGACAGGCTTTTGTTTGGTCTTGTTAGCAGCTGCAGTCTTCCCTGCCAAACTCTGACTTATAGAAACATGCTGTGTCTAGATTTGTTTTGAACAAAGCGCTCTGGGAGTCCCTCAGAGCTGAGCACATTAAAAATATCACTTGTTTTCCCCACTGTTGGGGCAACACACACTTTCCTGCTGACACGAAGCCATGTAAGGTTTTGAATAGTCGCCCTCCATTCAGTAGCTTTGGAGAAACAACAATAGTGTTTGCACTCTCTCTTCCCTTTTGTGTCACTCCATTTTGACAAGAGCTTACACAGAGAGGACATGAGGGATCCAATCTTACATCCGCCGTGTTCAGCGACACATGTGCGCGGTGTGCAAGGGGGGAGGAGGAGGAGTATGTTATGGGCGGAGCATCTCTGCACAAGCAAGCTTTACAAGAGGCTCTGAGCTTCCTCTCTCCAAATGGAGGCAGCGCGCTCACAAAGACAACCGCACGCTTGTCTCCAGCAGGAAACCAGTTTTTTGTTTACTGCAGACATGTTCTTGTGCTCCACGTGCACGATGCAGTGAAGCTTTAAAAAAAAAAGGGCCATATCACAGGGGTTTGGAAAAAAAACAAAGAAAGTCCACCTGCTGAATGCTCAAACTGTGTTGTCTTCTCTAGTTTGTCTTGTTTTGGCTAGTTTAGCTCACTTGTCTGTTATCTGGCTCTGTTCTGTCATGTTCTCCACCCACAGAGAGCTTTCTAAACAGGAAGCCATGATGGATTGTCTCTGACAGAAAGGCCTCGTCCGCACTTCCTCGTCTGATAGTCTGGCTGCGTTGCAGTGATGCGACACTGATCACTTTCAGAATCAAAAATACAATTGCGGCGTTGAGGTGCTCTTAATCTAAAGCAAAACCTCTTTTGACATTAAAAACTGTTCTCAGAAACTTCAAAAAGAACATTTGAGCCACAGGGAAAAAAAATGTTGCAGAACACCACAGTTGGTTTGTAGTGTTGCAAAACAATAGAAGGGACCACATCCTCTCCGGCACTGTGTTTAGGTCACTCTGTTCTTGTAGTGTGCTGTTGCTAATCTGATACTCTGACACACATTTTGAGACGAGGGTGATGGACCAGCTGCCCTCTGCTCTCCTCCACCAGCGAGCCAGTGTGATTAGATGACTCGATGGAAGAATGCGAGGTTGCAACATTAAAGGGTTGACAAAACTGGTGTCTGGAGGAAAGGAGGCTAGAAATGTGTCACCAGTGACATTAAAGCTGACAATGTTTATCTGGAGCTGACCTGTCTGACACT